GAGAAATTGGGATCATACAGACATGTTGGTAGGAATATGAAAAACAGTTTGGCAGTTTATTAAAAACCTAAACATGTACTGACCTAGCTGTTGCACTTCTTGGCATTTATTGCAGAGAAATAAAGACTTACATTCACGCACAAATCTGTCTAGTGATGTTACTCCATTTTTACTGAGTCTCTTTCATGTAAATAGGAGGTATATATGTTATTGAAAAATTTTGACCTTTTTTCCATGTTAAAAAGATGTGTATAGTCATGATAGCTTTATTTATAATAGCCAAAACAGGAAAAGAACTGCACATTCTTCAGTGGGTAAATGGTTATACAAATTGGTATATCCATATCATGAAATACTTTTGGTAATGAAAAGGAAAGAACTTCTGATAAATGTAACAACCTGGATGAATCTTCAGAGAATCCCCAAAAGAAATATATGATTCCATTTATATAACTTTGAAAAATGACATTATAAAAATCAAAAACAGATAATGGGTTTCCAGGGGTTGAGGATGAGGGAAGGAGGGTTGGAGGAAAGTGAATGTGGCTATTTGGGGACAACATCAGGAATCTTGTGATGCAAATGTTTTACATCTTGACTATCATTGTCAGTGTACTGATTGTGGTATTATATTACAGTTTTGCAAGATATTACCACTGGTAGAAACACAGAATCTTTATTATTTATTACAGCTGTGTGAAATCACAATTATCTCAATTTTTTAAAATGAAATTGAGGTATAATTAACAAAGAACATATTACTGATAGTATCACATTGTGGCTTGATATTTGTATACATTGTGAGTAATTATTACAATAAACCTAGTTAACAATCTTTAGACATAGTTGCAGTTTTATTTTTATGATGAGAACTTTTATGATTTACTCTCTTTGGGACTTACAAATATGCAATATAGTGTTATTATTTTTTAAAGATTTATTAATTTATACAAGAACCAGGGTGCAGGCCAGATTCACCAGAGACAGAGCAGGGAAAAGAACAGGCAGACTGACGAAATTCAATGCTGAGGGGAGCAGTGGGTGAGACAGGAGAGGTCTGCTCACCATGTGGGTTGCTCCGAGGTTGGTGGGGATCGAACCTGCACTGCAGAGACTGTGGACAGCTTCACAGTGCTGTACTCAACTGTCTGCGCCACCAGAGAGGCCCAATATAGTATTATTAACTATAGTTACCATATTGTACATTATACTCCATGACTTATTTTACAACTGGAAGTTTGTACCTATTGACTACCTTCACTCAGTTTTCCTACTTCCAGCCCCCCACGGATTTTCCCACCCTAAACCCCTTTATCCCCACCACCAACCACCAATCTGTGCTCTGTATCTGTAAGTAAGACCATATGTTTTTTATCTTTGTTTGTCTGATTTATTTTTCTTAGCATGATGTCCTCAACTTCCATCCGTGTTGTGGCAATTGGCAAGGGTTCTTTTTTTTTTAAAATATTTTATTTATTTATGCATGTAGAGCTGGGGTAAAGGCCAGAGGTATGGGGTGGGGGTGAGAGGATCTACCAGAGACAGAGCAGGGTACAGAACAGGCAGATTGACTGAAATACACTGCGGAGGGGAGCAGCGGGCGAGTCAAGAGAGGTCTGCTGCCCCATGTGGGTTGCTCCCTGGCTGGCCAGGTATCAAACTCATGCTGTAGAGGCTGTGGATTGCTTCATAGTGTGGTGCTTAATCCCTTGTGCCACCAGGGAGGCCCTTATTCTTTTTTTTTAATGGCTGAATAATATTCATAATATTCTAGTCATGTGTTGCTTAATGACATTTCAGTCCATGACAGACTGCATTGAGAATGATGATCCCAATAGGCAATACCATCTAGCCTTGGTGTGTAGTTGTCTGTGTCATCTAGGTTTGTGTTACTGCACTTTGTGATGTTAATACCACTACGAAACATCCTAATAATCTGTTTCTCAGAATTTATCCTTGCTGACAAGTGACACATGACTGTGTAGTTACCACATCAAAATAAAAATTTTACTTAGAAAATAATTGAAAACCTATGTGCCAGGAACTGTGCTAATTTTTGAATATGCAGTGTTCAGAAAAAGTGGACACCGTGCCAAACCATATGACTCATATTCTAGAGGGGAAGAGAGACATTAAGTAAGTAATCAGAGTTATATTACAATTGTCAGGAGTGCTGTAGAGAGATAAAAAAAAATATTGAGTTAATTTGTAATATGTTTGGGATAGTGCCTAATATGTAGTAAACTAGGAGTTTGTTAAATAAATAAAGGGGCATTTAATGTGAGATTTGAAGAGTGAGTGAGGGAGTAAATAAGATGAAGAGGAGAGGGCGTGTTCCTGGTCCAGGGAGCAACAAAGACCCTGGGACATGAAACAGGAAACAGCCTGGTAGGACTGAGATGGGAACATCACCGCGTATAAAGTCCTGCCAGAACGGTCCCAAATGAAACTGGAGAACTAGGCAGAAGCTAGGCTGCATCTGACTTTGTCTGCTGTCTTACTTACAGTTTTTGTCTTCTAAGGATGGTGAGAAACGATTAACATTTTAATTCATGGAGTGGAGAGAGGTTATTGATCAGACTTGCTTTTTTAGAAAAGCAAGACCAGGCTGACTGCTGTGCAGGTGATCAGATTAGAGGGGCACTTGATAAATACTTAGGTCATTTATAAATATACTGCAGTAAACCAGGCTTTATCTTTGGAGATTTTCATCGATTAGCTCTAATCTTTATAACTACAAGAACATATTTGCAATGTAGAGTGTGTCTAACAAATTATTTTAAAATGGGTTTAACATTTTTTTTTATATCAATGGTGTTTCTTTTTTTTAAGATTTTATTTATTTGCACAAGAACTGGGGTAGAGGTCAGAGGTGCGGGAGGGTGAGAAAATTCACCAGAGACAGTGCGGGGAGCAGAACAGGCAGATGGACCTAAGACACTGCTGAGGGGAGCAGCGGGCAAGGCAGGAGAGGTCTGCCACACCATATGGTTTGCTCCTTGGCCAGCGGGGAATGGAACCCGTGCTTCAGAGGCTGCTGACAGCTTCACAGTGCATCGCTCAATCCACTGCGCCACCGGGGAGGCCCGATTTAACATTTTTTTGGGACAAGAAGGAACAGTGACAAGTGACACATGACTGTAGATACCACATCAAAATAAAAAATAGTAGTTTTGCTTTTTTTTAAATATGCAAACTTTCAACTGCTGTGTTGTAGTTTAAGTGCTTGTTTGTGAGTAAGCCTAGGAATTAAATTTAGAGCCTAAAAACATTTAACACTTGTATCTAGATTACTTCTTTGTATTCCCTTTATGTTACCATAAAATGCTAGTCACACATACAATTTAAAAATTTTTAGGGGCCTCCCTGGTGGCGCAAGGGGTTAAGCACCGCACTATGAAGCAATCCGCTGCCTCTGCAGCACGAGTTCGATCCCTGGCCAGCCAGGGAGCAACCCACATGGCTAGGCAGACCTCTCCTGTATTGCCCGCTGCTCCCCTCAGCAGTGTGTTTCTGCCTGTTCTGTTCCCCACTCTGTCTCTGGTGAATCCTCTCACCCCCCATATCTCTGGCTTGTAACTCGGCTCTTGTATGCATAAATAAATAAATCTTTAAAAAAAAAATAAAACTTTTTAGTATCCACATAAAATATTAAAAAAAAAATGGTGAGATTCATTTAAGTAACATTTTATTTAACCTGGTTTATCTAAAGTATTATTTCAACATGGGGTCAATATAAAATTATTATTTTTTAATCAAATCTTTTTTTAGATTAATTAATTAGTTAATTAATTAATTTATTAATACAAGCACTGGGTACAGTCAGAAGCACGGGAGGGAATTCACCAGAGAGATTTCACCAGAGCCAGAGTGGGGAGCAGAGCAGGCAAACTGATGAAATACACTGCTGAGTGGAGCAGCGGGCACAGCAGGAGAGGTTTGTTGCACCATGTGGGACTCTCGCCAGGGGCCAGGGATTGAACCGGCGCTGCAGAGGCTGCGGGCAGCTTCGCAGCCCAGCGCTCAACTGCTGCGCCACCAGGGGAGGCCCAAGTTTAACAGTTTTTAACAATTACAGCTCTTTGAAGTTATTTTTCCATGTTCAGAAGGAATATTTACTGAGAATAGTAGATTGTCTTAAAACACTTAAGTTTTCAGTCTTAAAATTCAATACTGAAATTGGAATATGCATACTTCCATTCGTCCTTTATTTTCTGTATGTACTTACTGTGACAAGCCTAATAAGTCTTATATTTCAAGTTTCACTGGTTTGTCTACTTTTATTACTGTATCTTTCAAGTTCCACTTGTTAACATTTAACAACTATTACTAATGTCACCACATTTATAGTCAACTCTCATTTTGATGATGAGCAAGTAGGTAGGTTTATTTTAAAAATCAAACAATTTAGGAGTATAGACAGGACAAGGAAAACATGCAGTTCAAAACATTTCAAAGCAATTCATAGCATTAACAAACCAGAAAATTGTTACTTATCATATTCTCCATGGCTGATATTTGATTATGGGCTCAGACAATTTTAATTTTAAAATGATGAAAACAAGAATGTAATTAGTAGTTTGAAACATTTTAAATTATAGTATTGATTTTTTAAAATTAATACTTGCACCTGGTGAAATATTCAAAAGGGTCAGGTTCTCTTTAGACCTGATACTTCAGCCATCTTGTTTGCTTCCCTATGGATAGCTTTCTTGTAAATTCCTCCACAGCAATTATACACTATTTATTCTCCCTTTTTTTCTTTTGGAGCCCTCACCCCCACCCCATATACTGTAGTATGCTATAAATGCTGCTCTGTGCTTAGTTTTTTAATTTAACTATTCGTATCGGAGATTGTTTTATACCACTGTCTGAAGAAGTTCTTCATTCTTTGTTTTTTACAGCTGCATAGTGAGAATAGAATTGTAAATCATCTCATGTTAAACTAGATGATTTATATGTTGGGAAAATGTTAAAACCATTTTTTCCCCCTTTTTCAGATAATCAGACAGCTAAATGGAGTCTGAGCAGCTGTTCCATAGAGGCTACTATAGAAACAGCTACAACAGTATAACAAGTGCAAGTAGTGATGAGGAACTTTTAGATGGAGCAGGTGTTATTATGGATTTTCAGACTTCTGAAGATGACAATTTATTAGATGGTGACACAGCAGTTGGTAAGTTTGCTATTACAACTCTTAATATTTGTAGTCATGAGTGTCCACTAATAAATATATACATTGTTTTATTGATGTTCAATTTTGGGGTAACTTTCAAAAAAAGTGAGGTGTAAGTCATGAAACTTTAACCATTTTAAAGTATACAACTCAGTGGCATTTAGTGCATTCATATTGGTGTGCACCTGTCACTTCTGTCTAGTTCTAAAACATTTTCTGTGCCAAAAATAAACCTTGTAGCAAAAGAAAATCTTGCATTTGAGTAAAATTTAAAGTCATATAGAGATTTAAAGTTGTATTTAGGGTTCTCAGAGTAACAGAACTGATAGAATATAGATATATAGAAAGAGCTATCACGTGATTGTGGGGGTTGAGACCTCCCACAAAAGAGACCTGCAAATGGAAAGTCCAGGAAAGATGGTGGTATAGTCCACACCCAATCACAGGAGATCTAAAGGAGCCAGAGGTATAAGTCACTGGTTCTAGAGTCCCAGAGGCAGGACTACTGATGACCAGGGCCAGAAGCTAAATGTCCCACTGCAAGCAGATAGCAAATTCACTCTTTCTCTCTCCTTTGTTCTGTTAAAATCCTCAGCTTTTTGGATGATCCCTACTTTTATTGGTGAGGTCATCTTCTTTTATTCATTCTACCTAGCTAGGCTACCAGCTATCTGTGCATCACTTAGCCTAGACAAGTTGACCCATAAAATTAACTATTCCCAATAGTCATCACATTATAAGTGTGGAAACTGATGAATTTCCATAGAGTGAACATACTCATTTAGCTACTTTTCTTTCTTTTTTTCCAGAAAATAAAATATTTAAAATATTCATTTCTTTTTTATTTCTAAATGTCGGAGTTCTTCATTAGACTTGAAAACACTGTAAAACAAGTTCTTGGTAACCTCCAACTTAATCTTCATGACTGTGAATAATTTTGAAACCAGAGGGCATATGAAAAGTCACCTTTCATGTAACTATTTTTAATCAAAAAATAAAATATTACCAACTTACCTAGAAATCACCCTTGTTCCCCTTCCAGTTTTAAAAGTAACTAATATTTTGATGTCTGCCACCATAGATTAGTTTCGCAGGTGTGTAACCTTCATATAAAGTAGAATTATATATACTCTTTGTGTCTGGCAGGGTGTCATTTACTTGTTTTGAGATTTATGTATGTTGTTGAACATAGCAATGATGAATTTATTTTTGCTGTCATGTAGTATCCCATTGTATGAATGTGCTGCCATTCTGTCCATATATTGTTGATGGATGGTTAGTTTTATTTATTTACATTCAGGTTTTGGCTGTTAATGCTGCTGTGAATATGCACCTCTCTTTTAGTGCATATTATAAACAGAATGTTGTGAGCTGTGTATCTTGGGGTGGAAGTTATTAATTATAAGCTACCAGGTACAGTCAGAGACACTTCTGAAGTGGTTGTAGTCTGTATATTCCTACCAGCAGCATGAGAGTGGTTTAGTTGTTCCACATCTTCACCAATTTTTTTATATTACCAGTTTAAAAAATTGTGACTACTCTATTATGGGTGCAGTAGTCTTTACGTTTTGGTTTTAACTTATATTGCTTGACAGCTTATGTGTTTAAATGCCTGTTTGTATGTTTATGGGCTTTTTAGATCGGTGCTTTTGAAGAGCCTATTTTGTCCATATTGCATTCTGATTATGTCTTTTGTCAGTCATATGTATTATAAATGTCTTCACTCACTCTGTGGTGTGCCTTCTCACTCTCTCTTTTTTTTTATTTTAAGATTTATTTATTTATGCATACAAGAGCTGGGGTACGGGCCAGAGAAGCGGGGGCTAAGAGGACTCACCAGAGACAGAGTGGGGAACAGAACAGGCAGACTGAGTGAAATACACTGCTGAGGGGAGCAGTGAGCGAATCAGGAGAAGTCTGCTGTGCCATGTGGGTTGCTCCCTGTCCGGCCAGTGGTCAAACTCGTGCTGCAGAGGCTGTGGATTGCTTCATAGGGTGGTGCTTAACCCCTTGCGCCACCAGGGAGGGCCCTTTCTCACTCTCTTAATGCCATCTTTTGATGACAAGGTCATTAGTTCTAATGAAATCCATTTAATCTCTTTGATTATTTTTTTTTGTGTTCTGCTTTAAGAAATCTTCCCATGCCCCAAGGTCATAAAGATATACTCCCATTTTCTTCAATAGGTTTTATTTTGTGTGTTTTTCACATTTAGATTTATAATTTGCCTGCATCTTTTATATGTGATATGAATTAAGGGTTTAGATTCCTTTTTTTCCCCATATGGATAACTAATTGAGCCAGTATCATTTATTCTGAAAAATCCTTCTACTCCCCGGTGTACTGCAGTGATATCATTGTCATCTATTAAGTGAATGTATTTCAGTAGGTCTATTTCTAAATTTCCTTTCTGTTATATTGAAATATTTGTCTATCCTTACATCAAAAATGCAACATAGATAAGAATTTTGATTTTTTTACTTGAGTCTGTTATAATTAGTAGTCCATTTATATTTAATGTTTCAAAGCTGGCACCTTTCAATTTGCCTCATTATTTTTTTTTCTGTTCTTGCCTATAACTTGTTATAATTCTCTTACATTTGTTGGGTTACTCTAGAAGTTGTTAACTCTGCTTATTCTATAGATTACATTCATGTATTGGGCATACATTCCGAGAAATAATGTTGTTAGGTGATTTCGTTGTTGTATGACATCATAGAGTGTGCTTACATACACCGAGATGGTATTGCCTATCACCTGAGTTCTATATAGGGACCACCTTTGTGTATGCACTGCATTGTTGACTGAAACATTGTGATGTGGTGCATGACTTGTAGAACTCTTAACTACTGCATGGAACATTTAAGGTTCTTAGAATACCTTTTATATCCCCCCTGCTTTTCATGCATTTTTTGCTCTCTCTGTAAATTTTCCATGTATTTTAAACTTCATAAGACATTATTATTGTTTGTGCAGTCAATGTCTGTTTAGATTTAGCTGCTTCTTTATACTTTCTTCATTACTTTTCATTTTTTTTTTTTTTTTTTAAATAGAGGCATGTTTTTTATTTATTTATTTGTTTGTTTGTTTGTTTTGTTTATACATGCACTGGGTACAGTCAGAAGCGCGGGAGGGTGAGAGAATTCACCAGAGCCAGAGCGGGGAGCAGAGCAGGCAGAAGGACCGAAGTACACTGCCGAGGGGAGCAGCGGGCGGCAGGAGAGGTCTGCGCGCCATGTGGGACCCTCCTCCGGTGGCCGGGGAGCAGCCAGGGATCGAACCAGCGCCGCAGAGGCCGCGGGCAGCTTCGCAACCCAGCGCTCAACCGCTGCGCCACCAGGGAGGCCCTCATTTTTTTTTTTTTTTTAATTTTTATTTATTTATTTTTATAGAGGCATGTTTTATTTATTTATTTGTTTGTTTTTTGTTTATACATGCACTGGGTACAGTCAGAAGCCCGGGAGGGCGAGAGAATTCACCAGAGCCAGAGCAGGGAGCAGGCAGGCAGAAGGACCAAAGTACACTGCTGAGGGGAGCAGCGGGCGGCAGGAGAGGTCTGCGCGCCATGCGGGACCCTCCTTCGGTGGCCGGGGAGCAGCCGGGGATCGAACCAGCGCCGCAGAGGCCGCGGGCAGCTTCGCAACCCAGCGCTCAACCGCTGCACCACTGGGGAGGCCCTACTTTTCATTCTTTACTGCATCTTCATGTCTGAGTTATCTTTGTATTAAAGAACTCTCATTAACATTTCTTCTATCAGCTGCCAGTAGTTAAGTTCATTCATTTTTTTTTCTTTTTTCCCTTTTCACACCCTACCTTGAGATTTGGCCGACCCTTTTTTTTTAATTAAAAATTTTTTAATGAAGTACCATTGTTTTTACATCCTCGTTACTGTTTTGACAGGATTTCTCCCCTCGTGTGGTCACTATAATTCTTCTACCACCAAAGCACCTGTAGTCCTCTACCATAGTCCACAGGGCTGCCCCTCCTGTCACCTGGTTCACTTTCTTTTTAAAATAAAAGTCTTTGTTTTACCTTTACTTGAAGGTTATTTTGTGTAGCCACATTCCAGATTTACAATTATCTTATTTGAACATTTTGAATGTGATTTTCTGGTGTTTGCCTTCTGTTACTTCTGTTGAAAAGTTAGCTATCAGTCTTAATTGCCCCCCATCCCAATTGGGCTATTTGAAGACTTTTTTTCTTGGTCTTTGGTTTTCAGAAATTTAAAGAGGCTATGTCTAAATATGGTTTTCTTTGTATTTATCCTGACTGAGGTTATTAGAGTTTCCTGAATTAAGATTTGACTTTATTTTTCATCTCTGGATGACTTTGTCTAGTATATGTATCCTTATAATGTTGTTTTTGCCATTTTCACTCTCCTTTTAGGACTCCAGTTACGTGTGTTAGTTCTTTTCACCAAGACCCTCATGTTGCTTATGCTCTCATCATTATTTTCTATTCTTTTTTTCTTTTCATCTGGATATTTTATTTAATTTTAAGGAATGCAGTAACTGGATTGTCTTTAAGGATATGTTTAGTTTTGTCAGAAATTGCCAGGCTGTCTTCTGAAGTATCTGTACTATTTTACATGCATATAAATGGGAGTTTCTGTTGCTCCACATGTATGTCAGCATTTGTTCTTGTGTGTGTTTTGGATGTTACCTTTTACAACAGTTGTCTAGTGGTATCTCATTTTAGATCAAGTTTTTAGGTTTTTTTTCAGACTTATAATTTCCACTTGATTAATTATTTAGATAGATTTTTTTTTTATTCAGGGATTCTCTGTCTGACTTTTGGGAACACATTTAAAGTCCAATTCTGAATATTTTAATATTTGGATCACCTATGTGTCTATTCTCATTGCTTGATTTTCTCTTGATTTTCCATCTTTTGACTTTTGTTGGCTTTGTAATTTTTGATTGGATCGTGGATATTTTAAGCAAAAAAGTATCTATGCTTTGGATGATATCGTCACCAAAGTTTACTTAATTAATTTTATCTG